TTTAGTGAGATATAATCTGCTCAGACAGTGTATTTACACGAATATCAGTAAAAGTAACGCACTATCTTATAAGTTTTATATGAATTTTGACAAGGGTGCGACAGTCAGCTTTCATCTTTCATATCATATATTATACCATATCTGTGCATACAAACTTTAGCGATGATTTGTGAACTCTAAATCTTTAATTCAAAAAGCATTATAGACATTTTGGTATTAGGATTTTCATTTCAAAATTATCTCAGGAATTTATCTTAAACTTTGTTATGATCTTTATGTGACACCTTATATATAATTATAAAAAAGATACATATAGCTATATCATCTCATAAAAAAATGTACTTATAAATGTATAATTATTTTCCTTATTACTAAATTTATTTATTATTAAATATTGTAAGTATTTAAGAGTATTTAACTGTCGATTGATACATCTTGGATGTTGCCTTGTCGTTTTATCACTATTGATGTCTTAACTTCTTCTATGGGATTTCCACCATCAGGCGCTTGTCTCGATACTATAGGAACAGATAATTCAGATATGATAGAATGGTAAGTTTCCGTTTTGACTTCTGCTTGTTGTACAGAAATAAATTTATCAAGTGACATAATAGCGATCGATTCCATACTATTACCTGATGTTAAATCATTTTCACTAGATTTATAAATAACAGTTACATCGATGCTGCTATTATCAATATCTCTTAATATAGTCGGAGATGTTAAACCAACAAATTCTTTATTTTTATCAAATTCGAAAACAGTTGTTTCGTCTTTTAATTGCAAGTTATTTCGTAATAGAGTAGGATTCTTTTTTAAATGATTAATGTTATTATCATGCATCACTATGTCGAAACTTTTCGCATATCGATTATCTAACTTTTCCACAGTTTCTCCTTCTAATGATATAGTAGTGGCAATGTGTAAGTCTGACATTATATGTTGATATAAAAGCGGATTAAATATACTATTCAGATCCATATAGCGTATGTTGGAAGTTATCAAATAAGTCATTAACTCATCATAATTTATATTATCATTATTTTCTTCGGTGATTAGTTCCTCACGTATTATTGTTGATATTCTATGAGGCGATTCAGAAATGTTTTCTCCAATAGTTATTTTCGAAGTGTTTAAATTTGTCGCGCTTTGTTCACACAAGTTATCAATTTGAACAAGCATTGTGCATGTATCATCATTGTCTTTGTCTTTGTTTTTGTCTTGCAAATTATTTCTGCGTTCCTGTAAACTCGCAAATAATTCTAAAATATTTTTTTTATTGGTATGGATTCTTCTGAAGATGATACAGTTGGCAAAGCCAAGGAAAGTTTATCAAGAAGATGATTGATATGTGTTTTTGTATCGCTTATGGGATACTCTGTTTTGCTACTTGATATATAATTGCATGTTGAACTATATTGATTTTGATACTGATTGTGATAACAGCGAGAGTATTGATGTAAACGTGTATTGAAGTTTGAATAATATTCAATATTGGCTGTTTTGGAACTTGTATCTTTATTTTGATTACATGATGGCTCAAAATATAAACTGCAATTGTTACTTATAAAACCAGTCTGATTTTTTTCATTTTTGATACCTTGATCATTTCCAATTTCACACTGTTTTATCATTTGTGATATTTCAGAATATTTAGAAATTGTACAGTGTGGAAATTGTGCAATTTCAATATTTTTGTCATTAATAGTTTCATTGTAAGTATTTGGCTCAATCACTTCAAAATCATTATCAAATTCATCTTCAAATGCCGAATTAGTGACATCACGTAGACGTAATTGTAAACGTTTTGTGATTTCGTCTAATTCGGTTAATTTTTGCCTGTAAAATATGTTGACTACAATTAAATTTGTACGAAAAATAGCAAATTAATTTAAAATGACGCG